CGGGAGCGCCGCCACGCTCCCAAGCGGCGCACTGTAGCAGTGCGCCACTGGGCCGGCCCCCTCCTGTATCATTTTGAAGTAAACCCCAGGTACATATCATTTCATCCATAAGTCAGGGGCATATTCTTAAGTAGCAGGGGCCACAGCACTCTAGAGATGAGATGTGCTGGAGCCCACCTGAAGACCTTTGAGACAGGCCATGAAGTGGTCTCTTTGCATGTGGAGATCCTGGGAATGGACTCTTCGGAATGAGAGCCAACACACACAAGTCTGGTGTAACAATAGTGCCTTGGGGTTAGAGACGGTGACTCCATACTGTATCCAGTGCTGAAGTACAGCTTGCCTAGAGTCACAATGATCGCAGGAGAAGGGGCTAGGAATAGAAATAGCTGGATGCACTTGGCATACTGCTTTGTAGCGTCTGTATCAGATCAGGGTAAGAATGAGGGATGCTGTTCCTTTGCAGCCATTGCTGATGCACTTTCAGGTATGGACAGACCATAGGATTGGGCCAAGAGAAGCCCTTGCACATTAATGGCAGCCCATGGCTCTTGTGCCTTCAGCCAGTCCTCTGGCAGCAGGAATGCTGGGGCTGAAACTGGAAGGGATGAGTACAGAGCTGTTGTATGGATATGATATCAAGGGCACTGTTTTTCTGAACATGCAGGAGCTCCTCCCACTCCCCATCCTTGGGAATTTCCAGAGTTGGGTGACTTTGAGGTGAGCTGGAGCTCCAGGTGGGGAGAAAGCCAGAGGAAACATTTTGTTTCATTTAAAATGATCCTATCATTCCTTGCCATGTTGGTATGATTTGAAATCACTGCTTACGTTTAATAACCTTTTCCACGGTCATCTCAGTATGCTGTGCCCTCCCAGAGGCCTGGCATATTTCGAGACATAGCAGAGATGGATTGTTTAAACCTGGGCTCCAGGAAGACAATCACTTAACAGATGGGTGGGAAAATGATAGCACTGATGCTGCTATGCTGAGCTGCAGTGTTTATTGTACTGGTGAATTCTGACTTTTTAAGAAAGCACTTTTATTGCTACTTATTTTCTCAATCTTGAGAAGGTTTTAGTGAAGATTTAGATTTAGTAAACAAAATTTAGTAAAAATTATAAAATCTTGAAAGTTCCATCAAAGGATTATAAAGACCATAATCCACATGGGATGAGCCTAGATGTTCAAAAGTTAAAATGCTAAATTACATTATTTAAAATTATTTTTCTCTTTTTAACCTTAGCTTAATGTTTTAGAGTGATTATCTGAGACAAGTTGAGCCGAATAGAATTTCTGTACAGTCCTAAATACCTTGTTTTCTCAGTGGAGCAACATGGCAGCAGGTGACCTGTGCGAGGCTGAGCGATGATCATTGCACCTGAATTCCTTTCTTCCTTTTCTGTCTACATCCCTCCCGATTTTCTGCCAAGTGCATCGAGCTTTGTATGGGACCGTCAGCCCCCTCACCAGGTCCATATCCTTACTGTCACTGGCCACTCACCTTTTATACTACTGAAAGCATGTTAGAGTGACTGTCCATTCACTAGCTTTCACCTGGGAAGCCAGTGTTCAAGGGAACAGATCACTCCGGGCATGAGGAATAGGATAGAAAGCATTTCATCTCAGTGGGTTGCCGATTTGAATCTGGCACAAGGCAGCAGTGACTGAAACTCAGCACTGCATGGCAGGAAGAGATGCCATCTCTCCCACCCCAGGGCCCTCATAGTGTCTGCCTGGTTTGGATGATAGTTTTCCCTGTCATTTGTATTGACAGCCCACTCCATAGCAGGTCATAAGAAAGGACCTAGAAAATGTACATGATTTTCATCACACATTATAGAAGTAGGCCCTGAAGATTCACAATGATATCTCCATGGTCAACCAGTATAAATTCACGGAAGAGAGAGAAGGCTTTTTTCTGACCGAGACCATAATCCACATGATGGACCTGAAAGATTCTTATCTTAGCTTGAATGAGCCGTCTTGGCCTGTGCATTTACATTCTGAGAGATATTCTCATGGAAATTTTCTATTAAATGAATCATCATGGCCCACCTGCCATGAGTACTATGATCAGGGAAATACTGAAAATTTGGCTGAAGCAATTAAATGGCCATATTAATTAAAGACTGTGCAGCAAGGTGCCCTACACTTACTTTGGGGGTGGGCCTCTGTGTGAGTCTGTTTTCTTTCCTTCCTGTCCCCAACAGGGATTCAGAGATGACTGTGGCACTGTCTCTGCCCTCAGGAGCTTCCAGTCAAGTCTTGGTATTAACTGGAGGTGGAGGACAGCTCGTGCTGCCCCCCAGTAGCCCAGGAGAGCCCAGACTCAGGAGAGATAGCCGCACTGGGGTTACACCTGTTTCCGCAGAATCCCTGGGGAGGGAATGTGTGGTGTGCCTGGCACAGCTTCCTTTCCAAGAGCGGAAGTTTAAATAAGTATTATTTGCCATATTCAACTCCAGAAAATCTGCTTCAATATCAGTAGACGCCCCCCACTATCCACCTCGGTCACTTTCAGTTCTTCATCAAGGTCTAGGGTGTTTGTAGCATTATAGTATGAACTCAGCTCTCTCTCTCTTTAAACATTTTTTGGGACCAAATCAACCCATCCTCTTTCCTGAGGAATCACACTTTCAGAGTGACCAATGGCTGTTTTTTTTGTTTTGTTTTGTTTTGTTTTTTCCAGTTGTTAGTGATGGTCTGTTTAAATCTCAGCTAATGAATTCTTTGGAGGCCTCCATTTGGATGCTGTGCATTTGGGTTTTTTCACATTTTCCGTTTTGTTTTGTTTTGTTTTTTCCAGTTGTTAGTGATGGTCTGTTTAAATCTCAACTAATGAATTCTTTGGAGGCCTCCATTTGGATGCTGTGCATTTGGGTTTTTTCACATTTTCCCTTTGTCCTTCTACAAAGAAAAGTGACAGTTTACTTAACCCCCCCTCAGAGCTAAGTACGGGCCTGCTTTTTCCTGGTATGTGATCTCTCAGGAAGATGTCACTCACTGGCATTCAGTCACCCTTTGAATTGCCCCGTTTCATCTTGGCTGTTCTTCCCCAGTCCAGCTATAATTACCATCTGATGGACTGTTACTGGATACTGTTTCACTTGTGCATCTGCTGCCCTAAGAAATTGCATTATTCTCCCAGCACCTGCTAGACTTTCCCCAGCTTAATTGTTTCCCAGCCCCTTCCTCAAACTTGGTAACTTTCACTGCTGGTGGTTAGACTTCCCTTGGTTGTGTTTGTGGTTGGGGTATGTGGTGCGTTTTTAAAATCAGCTCTTAGCATCTACTTGGCAGAGGTTTTTAAAAATGCAAACATGTTTTTCAGCATCAGTATGTACACTGATCATTATTGTAATGTGGCCACGGTAATATTTTCTTGAAATGAAATTAACTCACATTACATCACAGCTATGAGTCAAGTTAGCTTTTTCAAGCCACTTCTTAGTCATTCCCTATGTGTTTATGCTACCTATAGGAAATGCATTTCCTTCTATTTATAGTGATTTTCTTTTCTCTGTGATTCTTAAAATAATTTAAATAAATTTCTTCATAGGCTCCTTTTTTCTTCAAACAATACAAGTTCTGTGGTCTTTTGCTCCAATTCTATGAACACTATCTAGTTTAATATAATACGTAGTATATATGTGTACATATATATGACTTATAAACAAGTGGTTTATTCTCATTACTATCATAATTCTTCCCTCTTAGGGAGTTTACAAAGTAACAAAAACAACTATTACTACTGCTATTACTAACTCATTGTGAGCTCTTGCTAAGGGCTTCCCATGCATTATCTCATTTAATCCTCACATCAGCACTTGTAATCAGTTACTGCTACCACCGTCCTCAATGTACCTAAAGAAAACAGGTTCTCAGGGAGGGTAAATGGCTTGTCCAAAGGCTGGTTCACTGACACAGCTTCAAACCCAGGCAGTTGGTTGCCCAAGCTCCTACCTCTAACCACTACATATGTACTTTGTCCTCTAAAAAGCTAATGTATTGATATCATAACTCATTATAGGAAAAGCAAACCACAGAAAAGGAAGATGGCTTGACACAGACCTTTTGGAATCTCCCAGCTCTATGGCACCAGCTATTAACTAAAGGTGACCCACAAATAATTGGCTTTCCCCAAGTGTAGTTTGGATTTTCCTTTTGGCTGAGCTGTCCACTCTTGGGTTTGATCCGGTACTAGCCTGACCCTGGTTGGGCTCAGCTGGGGAGAAGCAGACTTATGGGTCCAGGTTGGTGTGCCGGGTCAGTTTTTGGGCCCCAGCTGCTCCAGGCTGTCTGCATTTCTCTTTCTGTTGTGTCAGCTTGCTGTTACAAACCTTTAGAAATTATGGTGGCAGCTTCTGGGAAAGGAAGAAAATGATCATGATCCCATATGGAGGTTACATTAGAAATTCCTCAAGATTCAATTCCAAGTTATATGTGGCTTCACAGTGTTCTTAGAAAGTGCTCAAGTAAATGCCCATCAGGTGAGTATGGAAAGATTATTTGGGGGGTGGGAGTGGAGAGGACGTGAGTTAGTGGCATGATCCCCAAGCCCTGGAAATTGCTTAGAAATTGGGCTGTGATGGGAAGATGGCAAAATGAGGCCTTTAGGGTGTGATAAGAGAAGAAATTGTGAAAAGTAACCTTGTAACGTCTCAGTATTGTCACACATCAATCCTACATCTTATCCTCATTTTCTACAATAGATATTATAGGATAATCTCTTTCTCCTCACCCCCCCCCCACAGCTTTATTACAATATAAATCATCTAGATACCATACAATTCACCCATTTAAATTGTACAATTCAGTGGGTTTTTGTATTTTCACAGGGTTGTGCAGCCATCACCACTAGCTAATTTTAGGACATTTTTGCCACTCAAAATAGAAACCTGTGCCCATTTAGCAGTCACTCCCTATCTCTAAGTCTCCTCCAACCCTAGACAACCACAAATCTACTTTCTGTCTCTCTGAATTTACCTATTCTGGCCATTTCATATAAGTGGAATCATACAACATGTGGTAGTTTGTGACTGGCTTCTTTCACTTAGCATATTTTCAAGGCCCACCCACGTTGCAGCATGTATCTGTATTTCATTCCTTTTTATTGCTGATAATTCTGTTGTATTGGATAATACTACCTTTTATTTATCCATTCATCAGTTGATGGGCATTTGAGTTATTTTCCCTAGTTGGCTATTATGAATAATGTTGCTATGAAAATTTGCATACAGGCCTTTTGTGTGAATATATGTTTTCATTCTTTGGGGGTGTTTATACCTAGGAGTGGAATTGCTGGGGCATATGGTAACTCTATGTTTAATATTTCAAGGAACTGCTAAACTGTCTACCAAAGTGGCTGCACCATCTTACATTCGCTCATTGTTAGATCAGATCCAGCATGCCGGCCAGCCGATGGTAACGTGCTGGTCACCTCAAAGTCATTGAAGGGTCAGTGTGACTAATTTTCCTTTCGGTTTCAGGAGTAGAGCTTTCCATCACTCTGAGATGGCTTTATACATGTTTTTGAGACTATACTGCTAATACAAGCTTGGATTCTTTTGAAAGCAGAGATTTTTCTGAAATAAAATCTCTCCTGCTCTTATCTTCCCTGCTTCCCCACTCTGATTCAGCAGCCTCTTCTGGTCCTGCTTGGACATTTAGGAGAGCTCAGGCAGCAAAGAAAATGCCCAATCAAACACAGGAGTCAAATGAGGACTTCCTGTTTTTTTAAGCCACCATCATGTCTTTTGTTTCAGTTCACCTTTTAATATGTTATTGCTCTTAAAAAGAGCCACCATGACCCCCAACAGGGAAAAAAAAAAAATCCCGAGGCTTTCCTGGATGCTGATTGGGTTCTTGCCACAACCCACAGGAGGGGGGAAAATGCATTCTGTTCCCTGCAGAGCCAGGGTAATAAATACCACGAGGTCCAGGAGTGCCGCAGGGTACATCAGCTGCCTGCCACGGAGCTCTGGAAGGCCTGCAGCCCAGCAGGGCTCCTGGGTGGACCTGAGCTCCTGGAGCAGGAGCAGAGCCAGGGTAATAAATACCACGAGGTCCAGGAGTGCCGCAGGGTACATCAGCTGCCTGCCACAGAGCTCTGGAAGGCCTGCAGCCCAGCAGGGCTCCTGGGTGGACCTGAGCTCCTGGAGCAGGAACTGGCCTTCACAGCTAAGTAGCTTCTTCTGATCCACCTTCAGGGAGGAGAGGAATGGCAGCACCTCCAGGAGCTGCTTTGTGTATTTTGCAGTAGCTGGGGATATACAATGACAAAGGGGACAACTAGAGCTGCAGATGCTGACATCTCTTCCCCTCGATTAAAAATAAATGTCATTACAGAAGTAGTACATATTTATGGTAGAAATTTTAAGATAAAATAATAGAGAAAATCAGCAAAACCTGGAATCTTTCTATCTATACATTAGCTTTGTTAATGTTTTGGTGTTTTTACTTCTAGATTATTTTCTCTGAAAAAAAAATGCCAACATATATACAGTTAAATATGGGTTCATATGTACATAGGACCTTGAAACATGCCTTTTCATAAAATGTTATGAATATCTTAATGAAAACAGCTAAGTATTCTAAAATGCAGTTGTATTATTATTTTTTATTTTAACATTTTATTGTACATATTTATGGGGCACGGTGCATCATTTCAATACATGCATATACTATAAAGTGCGGGTCTCATGGTTGTGCCATTTTCTGCTGACTAGCAATCCCTCATACTCAGTGAGAACTTTCTCAGTACCAGGGTTTCTGCTGCATCCGGATGGGAAGTGGGTAAGTCCCGTGACTTTTCTGGTCAATTTTAGGTAATTGAAGTTGTTTGGGTCCCTTCAAATCACAACACATGATCTTTTTTTTTTTTTTGTCTTTTGTCTTTTTTCCGTGT